TTAGTACTCACATGCTGTGACAGCCGCTTTCTGTCCGTGTGCTTCGGATGTGTGCGCTCAGAAAACCTTATATCTGAAATTTAATTAAACTCGTTTTAAATATGGTTTAAAACGCATGATTTCAGCGCAATAAACATGATAATCAGAACCAAAACGGATGTTTTTAGCAGATACGAGCTGTATTGGCAGCAGCTCTATTCTGGAAAAGGGGGCGGGGAGCAGCAGCTAATTTGCATTAAAAGATACAGGGCCGAAAACAGGTGTTTCTGCTTCCACTCAAAATAGGCATTTTCAAAATGATATAATAAATGATCTGTTGAGTATTTTGAGCTGAAACTTAACAGACACATTCTGGGGACACCAGAGACTTATATTACATATTGTAAAAAGGGGCATAATATGTCTCCTTTAAAGTCAAATCAGAAGACATTTCCATTGTATTAAGTTAATGGTGGTCCAGTTTATTTAAGGCATCTACAACAATACATGAAGTTGCCCCATGAAAGGATGAAACAAACTGTTAACAATATAAAGAGAAATGCTATTTTGGCAAATCTATCAGTTTTCCAGTATAATATAATATAAAGAGAAATGCTATTTTGGCAAATCTATCAGTTTTCCAGCCAGATAACAAATCAGGATCGAGGATTAGAGGAACTAACACTGTAGTGACATAAATAACAGATCAGCAGTCTCCACAAGAGAAATGTCAAAGCGCAAAAGTGACACAAAAATACTTCCATAATGTACATGAGGCTATGGGCATGAACAGGAATGACATGGACATGGAGGGACTTTGAAAAGACTTTGGAAAGACTCTGCTTCTATAACGTTTGGTGTTTGCGTCAGGCCGTTACATAAAGCAGAATCCTCAATCTGTGTTAATCAAGTACTACATTCTGGGAAAACAGACATACTGTATACTTTCATTCACAGAAAACATGACCCAAACGAAAATCAGGATTCAGAGAAAGCCTGACACAGTCTATGAAGGTCTCCTTCACGCGTTAAAGGGAAAGAACGCAGAGTTCATTCAAACGTCAAGAAATTAAACCTCAATAAAACAAACGTCAACTTTCCTGTAACATTTCCAATAGATCATGTAAAGAATTGTTTTTTTTTGTTTTCCATTAATCAATACATTTTAATTTTAAAAAAGGATAAAAGAAATAAAATGTGCTTTAAAACATGATTGTTTCTGCTTTTTAGTGTCCAAATAATAATAATAATAATAATGTTATAAACATCATTATTTTAAGGACACAGTGGTTTGAGCACTGGACCCTGGACACAAAAATCATGAGAAAATGATCACTTTATCGATTTTGAACTGTCAAGGTTAAGCACCTTTCCTCTCATTACATGATTGGCTACAGGAAATCAAGATTAAATTTCCATCCCAGAGCTCATCATGTAGCTACACACAAAAGAGGAAGGTCTCGTCTAATTAAGAGTCTGACGTAGGTGCTTTCACGCGGGCGTTCATATGACAGATTGCACCCTCGTACTCTACAGAGTTTGGTAGGATCACCTCAGAGTTGAGAAAATTCCAGGTTTCCCTTATTCTATCCAGTGATTAAACCCTCTATTATAGATGTTGAGATCTTACAAGTGTACAAATATACATTCAGTAAAATATCAAAATAGAAACTGTGCTTCAGTTCTCTGATAAATCACTGACAGACCGAACACAGTACAGATAGTCATCTCTCATCATCCAGGCTTTATGATTGTACCATAAAAGCAGCCCACAGCCCTGAAGGTCAGAGCTCAGAGCCGAAGTTAGAAGATCAAGGGCAACGGTTACACATATGCTGCATTTGGGTAGGAAAAAAAAAACAATTTTGGCTTAGGTTGTGTCTCACATCTAACCAATTCCTCAATGCAACACTTTTTACACGAGAATGAAAAAGAAAAAAAAAAACTTTAAAGGGCTTAAGTCACTAGTCGGAGGTCTTGGCCTTTGTTTGATAGTTTGGGCTTAGATCCTCAGCCTCCACATTGTTACCCACAGTTCGTGGGGAGGAAAGACGTGGAAATGCCTTGTCGTGTTCAAGAGAAACGTTTGGCCCTGGTTTATTTCCACTGAGGAGTCGTTTGGTCCATGCGAGCAGACTGGGAAGGAGGAGGAGAGTGGAACGGCTGGCACTAGGAGAGCGCTTGTGTGCGGTCATAGTCCAGAATCAGGCCTTTGATGTGTGATAGTTTCTGATGGAGATACTCGCAGCGCTTCTTTTCTTCCCGGTAGCCTGGAAACTTCTGCGGGGACAAAAACAAGATCTTCAAAACGTGCACATTAGAGGTGGGTATTAGTGCTGATTTCTCGCTTTAGATGCAGTTTTTGATCTGTAACTGAAATTTTACTAGCTGTCAAAAATGGTGACATCTGCTGGACGGAAGGTTTACTATAAATCATGTTTAGTATTCACATAGAGAATACGAGGCATGAAAGGTTCAGTGTTGTTACTGTTAACTAAAATG